AGACCATTTATTAGTTTATAGAAGAGCATTAGGTTGTTTTTGAGACGACGGCGCCATAGAGGTTCTAGGGAAAGATGCTTGCATCTTTCTGTGCAGTCGAGATTATGGCTCAATCCGAGCAGTCGCCGGGTGAAGCTTCTTTGTACATTTTCTACTCGCATTTTGTCCATGATATTCATGTTTGAAAATATGAGTGAACAATATTCAAGTGTGGGCCTTATACAGATTTTGAAGAGAGTAAGCTTAGCCTCACTTGTGAAAAAGTTCTTGTTTATAATCCCAATGAGTCGTCTAGATTTAGAGATAATATTTGAGGCATGTTCTTCGAATTTTAGGCTTTTAGAATAACTAATACCAAGGTCACGCGCTGAAATGAGTGTCTGAAACCCACATTTTTGTAAGTAGAGTGGTGCATCAAGGTGACGCTTGCTAAAATGCATTATGGCACATTTGTTGTGGTTAAACGGCAGTTTCCATGTCTCGCTCCAGGTACCTAAGTTATCAAGATCACTCTGAATCTTAGCTATATTTTCGTCCAGATCTTCAGGCTTATAGCTGTATACTATTTTCAGATCATCAGCATATAAGTATGCTCTTCCAAATTTTATAGTATTACATATGTCATTAATGTACATTAGAAACAAGAGTGGACCTAAGACACTTCCCTGGATAACCCCACTGGTTATTGGTCTTGGTGATGAAAGACAGTCGTTGTACTTTATCATTTGTTGTCGCCCATTTAGGAATGAAGCTAACCATGAGTGTAGTGGGTTGATGATTCCAAATGACTTCAGTTTAAGTAGAAGCCTTTTGTGTGGGACTTTATCAAAAGCCTTTTTAAAATCGAAGAAAAGGACTGATACCAGAAGCCCTTTGTCTTGTTCATTCGTGATACCGTTGAAATAATCTAAAAGACATGTATCACACGACCTGGGCCTCAAGAACCCATGCTGTGAGGTCGATATCAGATTGTTACTAAGTAGATGTTGTAGTAACTCTGCCTTAACTATTTTCTCCATAACCCGAGATACTACCGAAGTTATGTTTATAGGTCGGTAATTTTCAACGTTCGCTGTAGGCCCAGATTTTATAGTGGGGATGATATGTGTAGTCTTCCAGTTATTAGGGTAACACTCTGTGGAGAGAGATATAGTAAATAGTTTGAGAAGAATAGCACTCAGATCATTGCTACCATTTTTTAGCATGCTGGCAGGGATGCCATCTGTTCCTTCAATGTAAGAGTGCTTCAGTGTAGTAATCGCTTTAGAAATATTCTGTACACTAAATTCAACACTGGCGATTTCACAGGAAGGAGTTTGGGTCAGGTGTGACTCATTTATTGAGTTTTCGTTTGATAATGTGGCACAAAAATGTTCGCCAAACAACTCTGCGATACTTTTAGGGTCGTCATACACTTGATTGTCCTTAATAAATATGCTCCCTCCTCTCACTTTGGAGCATTTGAGTTTATTCCGAAGGCTACAGCCATATTTGGATTTGATACTTTGGCAGTTAGTACTAGTATCACTTATTCCTTTGGATTTGGATACCTATCAGGGTAATTTTGGACTTGAAAGGTGTATTAATTGTCAGGTAACTGTTTGTATTTCCATTTCATTATAAAAATAGACCACTTTCTCCTAGAACTGTTGTGTTTTGAAATTGGATTAGGGGACAGCGCGTTCGACCTACACCTACTGGAATCAAAAGTGAACTGCTACGGTAGAAAATTCATCTGCAACCATTACATACTGTTTATTAACTCTTGTGATTACAAATTTAACCGCAAGGCTACTAAGAATTAAGCATGTTCATCATGTGATGTTACTTAAAACCAGAATCGCATATATTATCATTTTACAGAAGCTTGTGATTGTTCACACATTCAATCAGTACATTGTTCATAGGTCAACACGAATAAAGAAACCACGAATAACAAGCATTAATCGACGGAGCCCAATTCTTATATCGATTTGAATTGGACTATTCAACCTCCATTGCGAAGGAGTTTAAATATGTCAGTATTGACTGATAGACTAACGAAAAACATAGTGTACAAGAATATTGATGCAAAAGCATAATTTGGATAGAAGAGAA